CTACGAGTTCATCACATCTTTCCGATCAGTACACCCTCTTTCAAAACGGCAATGCATAATTCCTCTCCCTAACCGCGTGTGTATAGGCTAGCTTCCCGTGTGTATAACAAGTGCATCAGCATAGTTACGCGAACGAGTTTAGCAATCATAGGTGTGTGTATGCTTCTGAAAGGGCTGCCATTTTGTTCGCCATGGCTAGGGCGTTGTGTAAACCGTAAAGTGCGATGATTATTGGCAATTTTTCGTTTAAATGACGACTTTCTTTTCCAGTGAACATCGGGCTCAGATTTGACGTATTTTTACGCAAATATAAATAAATTTATTACACAGTGAACCGCACCACATAACGAAAGCGAATACTAGGCAGTTTTTATCATTCCACGGCCACTGCCTTGTTACACCCCGATTGACACACGTGTACTGTACTACTAGTACATATGCGAGCAAAATCTAGGCACAATCCTTTGCCTTTGTAAAATATACTACCCATACAACTCGATGCTTTGACAAGATATTTGTCCGGCCCTCGTCCGTGTGCGTATAAATCTGTTTTTATGATATGACTATGAGACAAAAATATAAGAAAATATTTTTATGATAAAATAATTTCGTTTCCCATGTTTAGAAATGACTTGATGCTCAAGATTATACTTTAACTTTAAATATATAATCATCTTTAATTGTGCTAAAGAGATTAATAGGAGTCTATTGGCACTTACCATGTTGAACTATAAGGCTTTCTTGTTTCTTTGAAGTGTAAAGACGGGTTTTTCAAGCTTGCTCACAACGGTGATGTGTCGTCAGCAACCAATGAATGAAGCGCCAAACGCTTGGTGTGGTTTATATACCCCGTACGTATTTTTCCAGTTCTGTGCCCCTAAGTTTCTGGTTGGAACTGGCGCGGCACGCAGCGTTTGTTTATCTAGTCTGTCAGGAGCTTAAAACAGACTCTTTTTGGACTTTTTTAAATTTTATGCATGAGTTCAGTTTCATAAATTAGAGTTCATATGATAAAGACACCTTTGACATGTACAGTAGTCTTTGGGATATATACTTATTTTACATGAAATATCGCGATGTGCAATTGCCTTTGTCCATACATTACTAATTTCCACACTGCACCCTAAGATTATTTTATATGCAGCAAACGTGTGCACATTTAAACTACAGATACGAGCCGCGCCTAGCGATCAGACAAAAGAAACGACGATTATTGGTTGGTTTTCGCCATATTATAGTGTATACGTCATTTTCGAAAAACACACAAATAGGCCCGCATCACTATCTCGAGATTGCCAAATATCCAGCTATTTGAACTATCCCGATCGCAAACTATCCAGCTAATTTGCGTCTTCATTAGACCGAAGTAGCAAATTAGCTGGATAGTTGGTCGGGATAATATCCCAAGATATCTTGGGATAGTTTGCAAAATATCCTTTTTATTGGCAAAATATCCAGCTATTTGGCCCGTGCGTCTTCACTAGACCGAAGATTCGCAATACACGCTAACGCTGAGCAAAATATCTCGAGCTAATTTCTCAAGGTCGAGTTTCGAGTTTCGAGGTCGAATCTCGAGATAGTGAATACGCGATTTGTTACTTCGGGATTATTTCCCAAATAGCGGGCTATTTGGCAATCTCGAGATATTTGGCAATCTCGAGAAAACGCGCCTATTATCTCAAGTCCGGCATAGGCAGGTGTCTTTTGTAGATTTCTGTAGGCAGGGAAATTCACAAGGTTTATGATCCACCCAGGGAGATGAGAGTTTAAACTCTCATTTCCCTGGTCCATCTAAAAAAAAAGTGTTTCAAACCTGAGCTAGATTTGAAGAAGACGAATAAACCGCATATATATCTTTCAATACGTGGACCTTTTTTTCACCATATACCTACATATTATATATAATATATACATATGCATATAATATGTGTCATACATGTATGTATACTCAGCAAAAAGAGAGAAAAGTGAACACGCTTTGTTGTTCAAAGATCTAATTTAAATTGTCGATAGAAATATATGTAAAATATACATGAAATTAAAGGAAAAATATTATTTCACCAACATCAATTAAAATCTTCTCTTTTTTCAACTTTCACGCTATATTGGTCCCCGATTGGTAGGCATGCATTCATTTTAACCGTTTAAAAATGCAAAAAGGAGCAAGTAACTATTCAAATGAATAGTGACTAGGCTGTTGCATTCCCCAATCAAATATAATTTGTAGTGTGACTTTATTCAACTTCGATGTTTGTGTAACTTTGATTGTTTCTTTTTATATACATGTATGTATTTATCATTGTTTTGCATTTAAAGCGTATCTGCCATAGTTTACAGGAGGGATAAGACTGCCCTGCAAGGTCACTGGACATGTGGTTATCTCATCAACTCAGCTCTCAGTTAACATAAGAAAAAGAGGATCATGGGGGACCAATGGTCACCGATTAGGCATGGTTTGTTATATAGAGGGCACAAGTAGCTACAAGTAGTGCAGTGGGCCTTTAAAAATGATTTTTGTATTACTGAATCAGTCATTGGTTTTCTTCTCATAAATAATAATTCATAATAATAACTTATACAGGGGGGCTTACACCCTACAAGCTCTGCTTTTTAGTCGGCCATCCTTCCCTTTCAATTTCATGTTTATTTTGTTAATGTATTGTATTGTGCAAATTGATCTTATGAATATGTAAATATATGTTAAAAAGTACCATCATTGTAAAAATGATCAATTGAAAGAGGAAAAATAAATGAATTGAATTGAATTGGAAAAAATGTTAATGACATTTGTATTTGTAAGAAATTCTTGTTCAACAATGAAAACAAGGAATGAGAACCTAATGAGGAGGATAAAGCTCTGGATGTCAACTGTGTTCTCAGAACTGCATGGTGTTTACCAAGCATGCATGGTCAAGATGCCTTCCTTTCCTGTCTTTAGTGAGTGCATTTCTTCTTTTCATTCGTTGATCTTGACTCGACTGTCACAGATGGGAATGCCCATTAACTGTTGAATGGCCAAATGCCACAGTTTGCAATTTTCTTTCAAAGACTCAGGTATACTCAATCATGTATTGTACGATTCCAATTGCGTATCATCTTAAAGATAAAGTTGAGTTTTGGTCATGCGATTGCATTGTAAAAGAAACTGTGTGGAATCGATCAGAAAAGATTGATCATCTAGCATGTAAGTATTGGTGTGTACTGCAAGGTTCTGGAGTCATCAAAATGATGAGAATTTTCGCCCAGTGGCAGTCTTGGTAAAGTAATAAGCACTGTACACAGAAAGATGCATATGGGACTACACAAACATGTGGCATACAAATCGGGTCTCATTTTTAAGCTATTAATTGTCATGATATTTAGAATATGAAGGCATTTGATGAGCCACGCTTATCAGGGAACATTTTTGCCTCTGATGTTCTTCCACACTTGCATAATAATGAAAACGCACAAAAAATATTTTTCACCTCACCCCAGAACTCAACCTTCTCTTTAAAGAGGATGAATTAATGTCTATTTTGAGGAATGAAACATGAGTTTATATTGAAAATCTTAATTATAGATACAACGAGTATCCACTTTGTGAGTGTGCGTGTGTGCTAAGTGTATTTAAAATAATAGAGATATTGGTAACACTCTTCTTAGCCAGTTACCATCATCAACAAATGATTACAGGGCCATCATAATCTTTTAATGTTTATACCTAGCAAACATTATACATACAGAATCATCATCACCAGTAAACATTATTATTCTTCCCCATCATCAGCAATCGTTATTATCATTATTATCGTTATCATCATCATCTACAACATCATCATCAACATCATCATCATCATCATCTACAACATTATCATCATCATCATCATCATCTACAACATTATCAACATCATCATCTACAACATCATCATCAACATTATCATCATCATCATCATCATCACCATCATCATCATCTACATCATCATCATCATCATCACCACCATCACCATCATCATCATCTACATCATCATCATCATCATCATCATCATCACCGGGCATCATCATCATCATTATCATCATCATCATGACGTCATAGCCACCATACATTCATAATTATTAATGTATCTTTTATAATAGTCACTGTGATTCAGGTCTGATAACTTCATGAGGATTACATCTAACATTGTACATCAAACGACATTCGTACGGATTTTCCTTTTCACTCTTTTTGCCGCCAAAGACATGACGGCAAGGGAATAGATTACTACCATACCATCATTTTAATCGTCAACATCATTATCCCCACATTTCTCATCCTCCCACTAATCATCTTATTTAATACCATAAAAAACCAAGCATCACCAGCATTTAAACTCATCACAAACACCACTCCGCAACCCCCACTATTACAATAACTCTTCATTGTTGATTTCATTAATCAAAAACTGGTTCCATGTAAACTTCATAGAGTGGTGAAGTGTGAGTGTGACGTCATAACAACAAAAAAAAACAATTTTTAGAATTTCTCAATATTTTCTTCATTTTCAGAAAGAGCATCCAAAATAATATCCAAATGTCGAAAACCAATCGAATATTGAGTATTGGCTGAGATATAACCATCTGAATGAATGTCCTATGGGAACTCAGTGTTATATGCTCTGGCTCCTAACCAAATACGAGCCAGAGCATATAACACTGACTATAGGAAATATATTCATTCAGATGGTCATATCTCAGCCAATACTTAACATATTCAATCGGTTTTCGACATTTGGATATTATTTTTGATGCTCTTTCGGAAAATGAAAACAAAATTGACAAATTCTAAAAAAAGATTGTAATGACATCATAGCTTCGGTACTCTATTATCTTGCAGTGTAGTGAACTGTCAGGTTCTCATTTTACACCCGGAATCATCAAGTTGTCACATATTTGCACGCTGTATTTTCTGTCAAACAATCTGAAACTATTAAATTAGCAGACATTCTCTGGTGATAAAATTGCAACAAACAGGCAATATATCATTGAAATACGAAATAATTTACTATATTTTTAAGGCCGCACTGTTGGATGTAGATAATGTTTACATTAAAAAAAATGTACATGAAGATATATATATAAAAGATGTTTACAAAACATAGACACTAGAACTAGGCATCCATTGTCTTTTATTTTGTGAGAAAAATAAAATTGAGATTGGAGCATTGTGAAATTTTACGCCAATTTGTTCGGGTTATAAACTATATTTGGTCTGAATGTCAGCCATGCGCGGCTAATTGATGGAATGTTTAATACTCATCACCTTCCTCCTCCTCGCCCTCTGCGTCCACGGAATCGACACCAACTTCTTCGTAGTCCTTCTCGAGAGCAGCCAAATCCTCGCGAGCCTCGGAGAACTCTCCTTCCTCCATACCCTCTCCGACGTACCAATGGACGAAAGCACGCTTGGCGTACATCAGATCGAACTTGTGGTCGAGTCGGGCCCAGGCCTCAGCGATGGCGGTGGTGTTGCTCAACATGCAGACGGCACGCTGGACCTTAGCAAGATCACCACCAGGGACGACGGTGGGTGGTTGGTAGTTGATACCGACCTTGAAGCCAGTTGGACACCAGTCAACAAACTGGATGGTACGCTTGGTTTTGATGGTAGCGATGGAGGCGTTGACATCCTTGGGGACGACGTCACCACGGTACAGGAGACAGCATGCCATGTACTTGCCGTGACGGGGATCGCACTTCACCATCTGGTTGGCGGGCTCGAAGCAGGCGTTGGTGATCTCTGCAACGGTCAACTGCTCGTGGTAGGCCTTCTCGGCAGAGATGACTGGGGCGTAGGTGGCAAGAGGAAAATGGATACGTGGGTAGGGCACCAAGTTGGTCTGGAACTCTGTCAGATCGACGTTGAGAGCGCCGTCGAATCGAAGAGAAGCCGTGATGGAGGAGACAATCTGACCGACAAGGCGGTTCAGGTTGGTGTAGGTGGGACGCTCGATGTCGAGGTTACGACGACAGACATCGTAGATGGCTTCGTTGTCGACCATGAAGGCACAGTCAGAGTGCTCCAGGGTGGTGTGAGTGGTAAGGATGGAGTTGTATGGCTCGACAACTGCGGTGGAGATCTGCGGAGCGGGGTAGACGGCGAATTCGAGCTTGGACTTCTTTCCGTAATCAACGGAGAGACGCTCCATGAGCAGGGAGGTGAAGCCTGAGCCGGTGCCGCCACCGAAGCTGTGGAAGATGAGGAATCCCTGGAGACCTGTGCACTGGTCAGCCAACTTCCTGATCCTGTCGAGGACAATGTCGATCAGCTCCTTTCCGACGGTGTAGTGACCACGGGCGTAGTTGTTGGCAGCATCCTCCTTGCCGGTGATCAGCTGCTCAGGATGGAAGAGTTGACGGTAGGTACCGGTACGGACCTCATCTGTATTAATAAATTAAATAAGGAACCAATTATTATCAACACATACAATTTAAAAAAAAGACTAACCTACAAGAAAGATAGACGGTGAGAAAATGAAAGTTAACACCGAAAATTGTTTATATTTATATGGAATGGAGAAGAAAGTGTGAGAACTGATAAATTTAGTCATGCCTAATTATTATTGCCAAGCTATCTATAATAATGGTGGCTTCTTATATAGCGCACATGAGTATGTCCGTCACGCTCTAGCATTTCAAGAAATTAATTCCTGCCAGGTGCCCATTTACAACACCTCGGTGGAGTGTGGCAAATGTAGATTAATGTCTTGCGAAAGGACACTAGTGCCGCGGTGGGACTCGAACCGCGGACCTTGTGATCGACAGTCCGGCGACGTATCCACTCGACCTCGACACCTCTACGACACCTCTAAAGATATGAGGGAAATTGCAACTTTGTCAGTTGCAATTCATTCATCAGAGCGCATTGGGACTCGATATGGATAGATCATACAAGCACATTATTGTTTAGCAACTAAGAGGAGAGGGAACATAAAATAGAGATTACTCGACCTTTTCCGATCCATCCCCCGCTCAATGCCCTTGGCCTTGTTGTCTGGCCTTTCTTCTACCTGTCAGACAGGCGACCCTTCCCCCTCCCGCGTCAATCCAATCACCAGAACTAACAACATTACAGTGTATTGCCACTTACCACTTTATAAACTAAGAAATTCGAATAATATAGCAAAGGAATTACACCTACCGACTACGGTTGGCTCGAGATCAACGAAGACGGCACGGGGGACGTGCTTGCCAGCTCCAGTCTCACTGAAGAAGGTGTTGAAGGAGTCGTCACCACCTCCGATGGTCTTGTCTGAGGGCATCTGGCCATCAGGCTGGATGCCATGCTCCAGGCAGTACAACTCCCAGCAGGCATTGCCTATCTGAACTCCGGCTTGGCCGACATGGATGGAGATACATTCACGCTGTTGATCAAAGTTAAAATAAAACATTTAGTTATATAATTATCAACAGTTTCAAAACTAACATTTACACTCTTGCAATGCTGTCTTTGTAGTATTCTTCAAAGGAGAATCATATTATTTTAAAAATTATGCTACTCTGTTTTAAAATCTATATGCAAAACTCTCGGCCACAGTTTTAAGATTGGAAACCAATATAACGTTCTAAAACTGACATTACCTAGTAGATTTTAGCGCAGATCGAGTTCAGCTGAAAATTGAAAACTATTCCCTGGGAGGGTTTGAATTTGAACTCCAATTACTCTCTACCTAAATTTCATTTTTCTTCAAAATTTCTTTCGTGTTCAATTTGACTATGAGTGATATCGACTTACCATGATTGTAGATTTGGTGAAGTTGAATACTTGAAGATGAAATTAAAGGATGGATTCAAAGCAAAGTAGTCAGTACTTCTCGTGTCAATTTGATGGTTTGGTGTAGAGAAACAAACTGCCGTAACCAGGATCTCATCCGAGTATATAAACTCCTTCTCATCACCGCGTTCTGATTGGCCCAAACATTAAAGTAGCGTTCGTCGCTATATTCGTTGCCAAGGACGACCCCGCCATTTTCTACAAACGGCTCGAGATTCAAGACCTCTGACCCGCCATCTTCTGAGCTAGCCTTAAAATGCAGGCAGAATAAAACTTGTTGTAGTTAAGAAGCTTCTTGCAGCCCCTCCCCTGCTCCACATGTTCATGTTATCAAAGAACTATTGGGCAACATGAACTCATATACGGGAAACATTATTCACCTCATATTATGGCAGTTGTCTACTAAAAGAAACAACAAAATGAAAAACGGGACCGATTGTTGATTGAGCGTAACAAAAAAAAAAAATTCTCACGGCAATGCGACAAGGAGTCCGCAATGACAGACTACCATTTAACCTCCCAGTTCAATGTCTGTTTGCATTTCTCCAGAGCGGTTTCGAATTATGGCGGGTGTTTTTTTTTTGTAACGTTTGTCGAGAGGCTGTATTCCTCCATTGACCTGTATTTCAACACTGATTTAACCTAGATAACACCTTAGAATGGCGCAATGTATACTGAATAGACAATTATGAACATTATAAATCTGGCCTACCGCTATTTATCAAAATAGGATATGATCTAACCAGGGATATGTGAGTTTAAATATCCCTGATCTAACGAGAACTTAGTCCATTTGGCTTATCATTAATTACGTCCCGTTAGCAGACGTATCACCTATAACCTACACCATCGATCACCACCACCACCACCACCACCACCACCACCACCACCATCATCATCATCATCATCACTATCTTCAATTCTTCATCATGATCATCGTAACCCCAATCATCATCATCATCACTACCACCAACCTCACCATCATCATTTTCACTACCACCGCCATCATCGTCATCATCGTCATCATCACCATATTCATCATTATCATTACATCCTCATTATCCTCATCGCATTGTCGACGTCAGTGTCATCATGTACATCACCAAAATTAATCTCGAACTCACCACTATCATCATTGCCATCATATTTATCATCATATTCACCACCATCACAACCACAACTACCACCATCATTTACCACCATCTTCACCACCACCATCTTCATCATCATCATTGTCATCATATTCATTTTACTCTACAGCAAGTTGCAAATCAAAGTCAACCTTCCACGAATGAATGCATAGGAGCGTCCTTCGCAAGTGCGACGACACAGGCTATCTTGAATCGATCACAGACTAGCCAGATTCAGAGATTGAATTATTATTATTTTTTTTTTTTATGGTCAGTTTTTATTCTTTTCTCTCTTGAAACAAATTGTAATCATAGTACAAATTACAATCATCATATGTAACTCACACTGCAAATGTGATGACATTATAAATCAGTATAAATTTTTGTCTTACAAACGGCTTCAAAAGAAACTTACATAGTTAGTTCCTATACATCATATTTGAAACAAAAATTCATATTTTCAAAGAAAACATATGCAGTTGTATAATCCAAAAAATTTGTTTTAACAATGTAGCAACTTATACTTCTTTTTATACTGTTGTCCTGAGAGAAAAGTTTTCTCTTTTTGTTAACCCTACCCTACCCGACCTCTCCCTTATCCCCCCCCCCCCCCCCCCCCCCCCCCCTCTTAACCGGTGGACGACTGGCTCTGGGTTCCAATTGTTTGTCTAATACTCAGGTTTTCCCATTTAAAAAAATTATTATGGATATAATGGGATATAATTACGGTACAACTCCAGTCAATCAATATCACGTTTTGTCAAACCATACTCGGACGCTTTCTTTTGATTTCCCTTCACGAGACAAGCCATAGATATGCAGGTCCATTGTTAAAATATAGTAGACCAGAGAAGAGTAGGCCTAATTCTCCCCATGTATAATATTATTTTTTATTTGAAATAATTTTTCATTCCTTTGCGATTCAAAATAGGATTTAACGATGAGTAATATTATATAAAAAACGTTTCACCTTTCTTTTGGTCAAACAAATACTGTTAAACTGAATCGACATCATACTGATTTTTTAATTATTTCATATCATCATTGATTAAAATCCAAAGATGGCAGTCGGATTTTATTTTGCCAGCATATTAAAATTTGCTAAATATTATGACCTTCCTTCCATGGGCGGGTGGCCTCAACATATCCCTAGTGAGTGTATCATACCATACCAAGGAGTTTTCAATTTACACTATGAATATGACTGACAAAGAAAGCGGACAAAATATACAGTTCCTCAGGTAGATAAAGGAACATCCCTTCACTGCTATTATGTAAAAATGTGTAGAACAGGTGTCACATGCATATTCACCTTTTTACATAAGGCCATTAAAAATAATATACATGTTTAGTGTCCCCGCCCGCTTCCTTTTTGGGGGCCGCCTCCTATTCTTTTTTTTTCTTTTTTTTGAAATTTTTTTGAATTTTTTTTTTTTTAAAGAAAAAAAACATGAAAAACACTGCTAAAATGGCTCTGTTTCTGATTAAAAAAAAAAAAAAAAAATTGTCGACGGCCATCTTGAAAAAAAATAGCCTCGACTGTCAGGGAAAATGTACCGAGCGGCCATTTTGAGCGATCATTTTGAAAGAAAAAATAAAAAATAAAAAGGGCCTCCTCCTTCCTATTTTTCGAAAAAACAGGACGCTAAACATGTTTTTTTTTATTTGGCCTAATAGCAGTGAAGGGATGTTCCTTTGTCTACCTGAGGAACTGTATATTTTGTCCGCTTCCTTTGTCAGTCATATTCATAGTGTTATAACCCCTTGATTGAACTATACCGACTGGCATGAACGACCCTCGCAATGAACTCGGGATGCTACCGTTCGATGGGCTGGCTAGGGTACCCTGCATGTATCACCAATGCTGTATTTTCACCCACAACTCTTAATACACGGATTTCAGATCGTGGTAGGAGGACTTGACCCTATATGACCCCATCACAATGGCCCTCATATACAAATAGTTCTTGCATATTTGTACCATGGACCTACTTGTACTAGGCCAACCTCTGGGGACGGAACAAGAGAGAGAGAGAGAGAGAAAGACAGACAGAAAGAGAGAAATAGAGAGAGAGAGAGAGAGAGAGAGAGAGAGAGAGAAGGAGAACCAAAAGAGGACCGCAAGAACAATATTGAACAAGACATATTATGACACACCGTCGGCTGATTTGACAAGCGGTTTGAGTTAAGTCGCGTTATGATGATATATAAATGCGTTCATAACCTTGCACCTTATAATACCTTCAGGTAGGCTTAATCAATCCTAATGATGTACATGAGGATCATACAAGGCAAATAGACAGTGGATGTTTACGTGTGCCTAGATTTCACCCTGATTGTTATAAGCGTAGCCCTAATGTTTCTTCCATATTTGAATGGAATAAGCTAGATAATTCGTTGAGAACGGCTTCCTCTGTCAATTCATTTAAGAGATTGTTTAAACAAAGTTGTAATTTGTAATTTGTGAATGACTCAGCCGAACATACACTGCGTGCATGTTCTGTAATATTAACATGATTTATTCATAATTGCGACTTAATCAATATTTTCCTATTGACATTACTGTTTACTATAGGTTAATGATATACGATTATTTTGCAAATGAGTATTATATTTTTTAACTGTTTTGTATAAACGTTATAACCGATGTAAATGTTCATGTTCATTCAGGGCCCCATGGAAGACCACTACTTGTTGGTTGGTGAATGGGCTACCCTGTCAAAAGATTAGAAATAAATAAATAAATAAATAAATAAAACCAGAGAGAGAGAGAGAGAGATAGAGAGAGATAGAGAGAGACAGACAAACAGACATACAGACAGACACACAGAGAAGGAGAGAGAGCGAGAGAGTAGTTTGCAGGCACAAACCATTTGCAGTCGAGGCGAGGCCTATGAGACGGGGAGGGGGGGGGGGGGGGAATTGGGGAGAGATTATAATTTGCAATCAATTGTAGTACATGTAGGTCCATGATAAGAGTATTGTATCATCAATCCCCAATCCACTTCGACAGTGACGTGTGCAGGATTATCCTCTGCCCTCCTCTGATCCCCACTAGCTATTTGTCCGATCGACCCCCCCCCCCCCCCTCTCCCGATCCCCAGCGCCCTCACAGAGGACAAACGTGAAAGACAGTATTTTAGAGGGAAAGAGGAGAGGGAACGTACACAAACTTTTCTGATCATTTCCCCCCACTCAATGCCCTTTGGCCTTGTTGTCTGGCCTTTCTTCTACCTGTCAGAAAGGTCACCCCTCCCCTCCCTCGTCAATCCAATCACCAGATCGAGTTGACAAAATTACAGTGAATTGCCACTTAGTCTAATACCAGTTTCCCTTTGCTTTTCGCCAAACACCGTTAGACTACTCTTCTTTTCATTAAAAAAAAAGAAGCCAGATTGGTTTTACTTTGTCAATTTGTCAAGATTAAAGGTCCCTTTGACTGGGAATACACTAATTACATTGGACAAGTCTGATAGTACAGAAGACCAGACCATGGACCTACGCGAGAGATCCATAACTAGAAAGGTGCCCCTCCTTCTTCAATCAAATCACTGCACTAGGCCTTTCATAGCACAAACGTGATAAGACGAACTGGCATTGGACCAAATTTAAGTAGTAAATATACACAATTGCACTTTGTACCTTAGCCATTGCCTAGTCTTGCTCCCAAGCACCGTACAATCACATATTAGTCACACTCTGCACGTCACATTCTACACGTCACACACTACAAGTCACTCACGCAGTGCTTGGATGTGGAATTAGGCGATGACGTCATTATTTCATATTGACAATACTTTATCCTTATTAGCCCTTTTCACATCTCTACAGCTACAATTGAAGAGTATATGAAGTAAAATAAATGATAATTTATATATTTTTAAATAACGCAAAAATAACAAAATTATATCATTCAATATT